ATATAAAAAATAAAATAAAATGTCCCCAAAGGGGACAAATGGAGCTTGGACTCCAGTCCTCTCTCTCTGCTTCTCCTTTCAACTCTTCTTCAAAACTCAAAAAAACTAGCACACAGTTACAGTATCTATTGTCCTGACTGTACAAAACTCCAGATTGGCTGAAAACAGTCACATGATCTATATTTTTTATGTTCTTTACTGCTAAATTGGTTAAACACACAGAATGATAGATTACCTGTGAAGTAATTAAAACAGGGCATTATTACAATGAATGAATCATGATAGAAAAATACAATGTTTCTTTTTTTACCAGATGACAAACAACAGAAAGACATTTGTTCATGATGTAATTATGAGACCAGCCTTTTGGGGGTGCTCTAAAACCATAAATGAGATGTATGCAAACGTGTCTTTTTGAAGCTTCCTTGGGTGACAATATCTCAGCAGGAGATCTGGTCTCAAAAGGGGTTATAGATAGCAAAGCCACTTTGGGGAGACTTTAAGTCTGGCAAATGGGTGAGTCCTTTGTGATAAATGGCCATTTTGAGTATTTGAAAGAGGTCTCACACAGTGCTTAATCAATTGAAGGTTGCAATGTCCTGTTTATTTTACCCCCTGCAGATAGTAAACAAAAAGGTTTGAAGATAATGAAACAGTCATTGTTCTCTGTAGACATGGGGATGAGTAATTTGTTGACTCAAGTTCTGAAGTGGGACTTTCTTTAGGTTACTGCTACAATAAAATATCACTATTGTAAAGACAAGGCAAGAAAACCCAATTTAACACAATTAACCTGTGTTGGCAATACAATTTAAACAAATCAACAGTTTTTCAAAACAAAAATGATCAAAAATCAGATGATTTGCTCTGGTACAATCTCACTTTATGCTCTCAAGTAAAAACTGTATTTTCAGAAAAGAGCAGATTGTAGTAAACCTACTCTTAGTTCAGCTCTGAACACTGGAGACAGGAAGAGCCAGGACCAGGATGAGTGGCCTGCTGAAGAAAACCTCCTCAGTCTGTGTTTTGTGTGAGTGCAGATATCTGTGGTGAAGGAGGAGCGTTTTTACCCCAAGTGGAATCCCTCAGCGTCCCCGACATCCACCGCTGAAGTTGGATTTCAGACTGGCATCATTGCTGGGAAACTGGCAGTGAACAAACTGCACCAGGAGCTGGCCACTCAGGGATTCTCCCAGGTACACAACACTGCTGTTACTGCAGGCACTTCCATGTCCTGTTTGCTTCTGCTCTGGCTGTATAAAGCTAATCTAACACAGAGATCTACAGTTTCACTCTTCAAACTCTTCCTGAATAAACATCATATCGTGTCGAACRCTTCAGGTGTATGTTGACCAGGTGGATGCAGATATAGTTGCCATTACTCGTCACTGTCCCAGCACACACCAGTCTGTGGTGACAGTGAGCCGTACAGCGTTCAAGGATCCTAAAACCCACCAGTATGACACCAAGGTTTCACCCATTTTCATACCTGGTAAGATGACACAGTTATCATCTCTGTGATGGACATTTTGTATGTATTTAGAGATCCTCTTCAAATTTAACGTTTTGTTCAAATATTTTCTATGGTTGTAAGAAGTGTATGTAAGTGTAAAGAAGTGTGGAAAAATTGTGTTCAATAAATTGGAAGTCAGAATAAATTGGTAGAAAACCAGTTGATTCTCTTCTAAAAAGTTTAGTCGGAATTCTGACTCTATTAAAAACCTACAGCTGAAAGGCCTTGGGTCTTATCAGAAGCAAAATAATAACAATCCCCTCTCAGGAGCACAGCATCTGTCCCAGGCTGGTCTACATCTGACTAGTCCCACTGCTGGAGGTGATATATCTGACAGAAATAAGGAAACTTTGTACAGACAGGCCTCATATTGATAAGACACACTGACTCTGTTCCCCTGTTTAAACCACAGGGCTGCAATGATTACAAAGTGTAAAATACGAGGCTGGATCTTAAATTCAGTTAATAATACACACAATTTCCTCCAGAGGAGTGAATTATTTTACATGATCAAAAAAATCTGTTGTTGATTCAGCTATTTCTGATAGACTTTACTGGTTATCACCTAGTCTAGATAAACATCCATACAAATGTACAAGCTGTTCATGTCTAGGGACCTCTAAGCCTGCTCTGTGTCCCCTCTTATCTCTGAGTATTAAGAAATAACTGTCATGAGTAGGAGGTGACCTACATCCCCATCATAGCTCAGCTCATATGTTGTTCCTGTGACCGGGCTGAGAACCAGAACCCCAGCAGGAAACTTACCAAACACACAGGCAGGCCTCGGTAGTCAGGATCAAAATCGAACTGCTCAACAGTGAAGGTCACAAGTTGTCCTGCAGCTGTAATATGAGCAGCTGCTAAATGGAGCAGGTAAAGCAGGGGGTGTAAACGGTGTTTGTTCCCKCAGTTCTACTTAAAAACACATAATCACTCCCAGCAATAAGACATGTGGTATTTATTCCTTTGAATCAGTTCCAAACCAAAACATAACATTTAACTGAATTACTAGACTCTACTCCCCTGTCCTGCAGCTTTGAGGGGTTTCACGCTCACCTTTTTWAATCATAATAATAATGTTTATTCATTTATTCATTTAATTAAAAACAACATAAATTCAATATAATTTAAATTCAAATCATAAGTAAATGAAAAGTAGCAGAAGAAGACAAAGGCTTATATCTGCCCCTTTTTCTCAGATAAAATCAAAAATAAACTTCAAATTTCAATAACAAAACAAAGAAAAAAGAAAAACATGAAAAGAAAAAAGAATAAAGGTTTGACTCCATCTTGAATACAAATCATACATTATATTGTTACATATTTCTGTAACAAATTTACCTTTAACACCTTAGCTACAGCTGTTGTGCAGCTGCTGCCTTAGATCATGTTCAGCTGGAAAAATGTGGAAAAAAAAGGTTTTATTTGAGCTTGAATTAAAGAGAATAGAGTAAGAACATTGAAATCACACTACTCTTGAACACAATGGGAATATAAATTTCTTTATGCTGATCTTGATTTTAACCTCGAGCTCATTTTAGATCATGTTTGGAGGTTGGACTAAATATGGCCCAAAATGCAAATCAGTAACCTTGAGGGGATTTGAAGCAGTAATCTCCAGTATACCAGCTGAGCGTGCTCTGTTAGGATCATTGCTTGTTATGTAGAAATATTTACTTATGAGCTGCTGTTTGTAAAGTTACACAGTCAAAAATTATCACCAATAATTT